TTGTGACATCTGAAACATAACTTCTTGTCCATGTGTTCCTTGTGGTCTTTATGTGACAGACATCTGATTTGTTGATTGTTAGATGATACTTCCTTTGATGATCCGTCCCTGGTCTCAATTGCCTGATTGCAATGTACAAATTTGTTATGATCAAAAGAGCGGTTGGCAGATGGCATGAATAGAGGTTTATCACCAAAGATGTTGATCATAGACTGGCAAATAGATTGAACACTGTTAAGATATCCTATCGCAGTGTCTGGTAATGGTGGTTGGGCAGCAATCTTGATTAGGAGGGCAGGGGGAATATGTCAAAGTATCGCCCTGATACTTGACTCCTCTCTAACCCTAACCCCTAAACACTCACTTGTGGTGATAGAAGGTTAATATAGCTGGGGGCTATAGGAGTTGGTAGTCTAAAGGTTGAGAGTGGGTAAGTTGATGAGGGAAGACTAATATCACTAGTCTGCCCTCTCAACGCTGGATTGCTCTGGTATTTTATACATGAGGGACCAGACCCCTAATACTACTGGTAGTACACCTAACACCTAGGCTCACTGATGCTCATAATACGCTATTGGCTATCTAAGAATACCCAGCGTGTGAACCATCACCATGTGTTCTGGTCAGTGTCTTGATTATGTGATGATCACCTGAACGACCGTATGTGTCTCTAGTACAAATGGGGAAATCTCGTGTGAACGTATGATAGCCACATTTGACCTGCTTCTGATAAGCTAGACACCTGACTACTAACATGTCACCATACATTATGTTATCGTTATCTCATTAGATATCTAATCAGATAAGATATAGATCATCTAGACGCTAGAGATAAGATAGATGCTGTGGAATTCTGTGACAGAATAAGATGCTGGAGTTCTCGAATTTGCCCTAATTCATTTAATCTGCTAGCTTGTAGAAGAGGTCAAAGAGTTGTAACAAATTGAAGACCATTTCCTCCACACTTCACCCAAGTACATTTACTGATCTCGTTTAATGCTGCCTGAGTGTCTGTTATAGCATGAGGAAGGGGGTTCTTGTGTGAGGAGGGTGGGGTTCTTTTTCTTTCCCTAACTATTCGTCATTGACCCTGTAACTGTACAACTGATCCCATCACCTGATGTGTTACACCTACATCAGTGTTTCATATCTATCATGTTTCCTCTATATCACGTTTCATTTACATCACGTCTCATCTCTATCATGTTTCATCTTCATCACTAATACAACCCAGTGAAACCTGTTTCACATACATCACTGATCTACTCAGTGTTTCATACTTATTAAACTCTATTCACTTTGTCCTATTTAAGTAGCATGGCTTCGCTACTCTGTACTTTAGTTTTGTCCTCTTGTTCCCTATGTACACTTCATAGGGACAGTTCTCTAGTAATAGACTCAGTTGTCTATTCAAGTCCTAGTCTCAAGTCTGAAGCACAGCTTCAACCAGTATACGCTCTCAAACCACTATCAGTTATAGTGGCTCAGCTTGTAACTCTAGTATCAGTGTAGGACTATAGCGTGTATAAGTCCTAGTAACAGTCAACCAGTTGAACTCCTGATCCTCAGTTGTTAGGTCCCTTAACAGTGTTGTCCTTGACTCTGAAGGTCTGGATGAAGGACTTTCTGAAGTTAGCCCAGCTAGGCAATCCTGTGGGGGGCGTGTCTTCAGCATCTGATATGTGTTCTTCTGCATCAGTGATGATGGTGTGGACAAAGAATTGGGCAGGTCCTTTGATATATGAGAGAGCACATTGAACCTTATCTTTGTCAGCCTGGATCTTCTTGGTGTTTCTGGCAAAGTATAGGTATAATTTGTCCAGGAATTCTTTGCTCTTTCCCTTGTCTCCTTCAAATTGGTTAGGTTTGTTTGCTGTTCCATTGTTGTTGTCCAACATGTCTCCTTCTTCTTTCTGATTGCTGGGTTCGGGATCACCGTCTTCTGGGTTGTTTGGGTGTTGATCAGCAGGTCCTTCTTCTGGGTTGGGATTGACTGGAGATCTGGGTGGTTCTGGTTTGGGTTCTGTTGGAACAGGTGCTGGTTGTTGTTCCTCTGCTGGGGCTGGTGGATTGACTGGTTCTGGTGAATCAAAGATTCCTGAGAAGAAACTAGGTCTGACTGTAGGACTGGTGTCTGTTGATTCACTTGGAAAGGGTTTGGTGCTTAACTGGAGTGGCAATGTGCGAGGTGTGGGAGCTACTACACTTCTACTGGATGACGCTGCAGTAGGAGTAAGGTATGATGGTACAGGAGAAGACTTCTCTGCTAATGGGGGTACTACTGAGTGATGATCTTCTTTGCTTCCAATAGGGGCTAGGAGTGCTGTTGGTGTGGTGATAGTTACATCTCTTTTCCTGTTTGGACACAATGAATCAGCACAATACTGCCAAGAATATCCATTATACTACTGATCAGTTTTTTTGTTCCTGTTGTAGGCGTGGGTTTTATTGAAGCAAAGAAGTTGCCTTGCTTGGGACCTCCTTACTACTGCTGGTTGTCCTACTTGCTGTAGCCACTGTGGCTTGCTGCGACCAGGAACTAGTGATCCTAGGAGAGTTTTGTCCTAATGTTAATGGACCTAACAACTGAGGATCAGGAGTTCAACTGTTAACGGGCACCAGGACTTATACACACTATTGTCCTACACTGATACTAGACTGTAAACTGAGCCGCTATATCTGATGGCAGTTTGAGAA